TGTTAATGCTAGAAAATGGAGTCCGTGTCATTGTCTTATTTCATGTTTTATAGTTTTGTTATGATTGTATTCCAAGTGTCGAACCTCGCAGAACTTAAAATGAGAAGATTGGGAGCAAGAGACTGAATTGCTTCTTAGGGATAAACTTAAAATACACAATTTTAAGGTTGTCCGTAGACATTAGAAACCTATGAGAGTGTGTTTGTTGACAGTGGAGATTAATCAGCTGAAGTAAATGTCAGCGATATGAGTCAATTAGGTCAGATATCCACTGCGCCTTATGTCAGTCAATTACAAAGCATATTTTTAGTAACAGAAGACCTTTCTGCACTTTCAGTAACAAAAAATGATCGTGTGAAGCACTGTATCTTGTTACCTTTTTAGAGGAAGGTTAGTCATGGCTGGCCATCAGTACCTGCTACCAGGACAGTAGTTGGATTAAAAGAGGCTGGGAATGCATTTATAGAATGAACAGCAGGCAGTCAGATGGAAGCTTTATTCTTAAATCCAAATTTTCTGAAGTAATAATGTAGTTTCAGTCATTTCATTAACTGGTAAATAATGATTTTAGCATTTATGTTTTCTTACATTGCTGCAGTAAAGTGAACAATCCTCAAATGTAAAAGCTGCAGATTAATACAGCTTTAATTGATCAAAATTGAGTGCAGGCACTTGTTTTTTTCATCATCTTGTATGGCACTGCAGCTGTTCGAGGCATCTCCTGATTGGTATCTGTGCCAAAAGATCCTTGTGCTTGTCCTGGTAATAAGAGAATCATTGCTTTGACTTTCCTCATTCAGACATCATCTACAAATACTGTTTAAAAAATTTAGGAGATCTTAAAACATTGCTTCTCCAATACTGTGGGCCTAAAACTCAGTTATAACTGAGAGTTACTTAGAGAATTCATCCGAGTGCAGACCTCAGTGCAGATGACTGAACCAGACAACAGCAAGAAATGTAGCTCGAAGAAATTTGGGTCATCTCCAGACACGTTCTGGTGTTGAAGAAGCGACTGTAAGTGTAGCTTTGTTTGTGTTTCTTAGCCAAGCTGTATAAGGTCATCTTGCTGAGCTTGGTATCCTGGATGATTTTGTGACCTGCTTCCTAACAGATATAGAAGAAACTTGATGTCTTCACTGCTTTCCTTCTAGCAGCTTAGAAATAGCCAGTGTTTTCACCCTAAATTTGAGGATGGAGCATGATATTGCTAATACAAAAAGCAATCTTCAGCATGTTGCAAGTGCTGTTACTTTTTTCTACCTTTGTAACTCTGATGGATTATTCTGTTTGTGTTGCTGATGCTTTTAGAAAAGTGCTTTCTGCTGGTTCATTTGACGTAAAGAAATGAAAAAAATCTTTGTCCCAGTGATTACATCCTTATTGGAATACAGTCCACCTTTTGGAAGGTGGAAAAAACCCCATTTGTGTTCAGTTATACCTTGATAACAAGGGGGAATTTTCTGTCTAGAATAGTTGTCTTAGGTGCCTTTCAGTCCTCATGTGTATTTAATTGTAGGTTGCAGTCTGAAGAACCCATTTCAACATACCTCACGTATACTATGACACTTGAAGAGCTGCCGTGAGTAGGCAGCGTTGTCAGCTATGAAGAACAGGCTTTGAAGTGTTTGTTTTAGTACTTTGAGATTTATGTCTTGAATTCCAGAGATTTTTTGCAAGTGAAAGTGCAAATACCTTAGCTTGGGGGGTAGCAAGCTAATACTAGGAGAGGGGTATATTTCCACATTTCTTGGTAGAAGTGAACACTTTCAGTACCACGGAGTTGCATCTATTTCTGCACTAAAATAAGAAGAGCAATGCTTGTACTGGCTGTGGTTTCTGGTCCTGTTTGCTGTGCTTTATCTGTATCTGTTCCCAGCAAGCGTGGCTTGCTTTACTTAATATAAATAAACATGTAAGAAAAGAATTGCCCCTCGAGCAAACAGACTGCCTTAGCTCCATGCAGGGTCAGATCAAGTGTGTCTGTCTGGCATTCCCGGGATGTGATGCAGGTAGACATGAATGGCTGGACAGGATGAGCCAGATACGAGCACAGGCTTAGTTGTGCTGCTGATGCCCGAGGTGGTGGTGCCTTAACACAGGTGGAATTGCAGTCATCCCGGAGTGGAGCAGGAAGGGTCGCAGGACAAGGAATTAAAATGGGTTGGAGAACTGGATGCGAAAGGTCAGGAGTACTGTCTGCTGTCCCATGGCAGGGGATTAAGGAGCCACTGCAGAATTCCTGCTGTGCTGTTCCAGGATCATCTGAAAGTGCAGAATGCTTGTTCTTAGTGTGAGGTTCATATCTGAGTTCTGTTGCTGTTACATGTGTTAACCTTGAAGTCAAAGCCGATGGATAATCACCAACAGCAGGAAAATGCCCGATTTCCTCAGGTTCTTACCTTTTGCTTTGGTTGCCAAGAGCTGACCCTCCCAGCCCACCCTCTTTGTGGGAAATTACAAATACCCTTTCAGATTCTCAGACTCTTACTAGGTCTGTCAATGGACATTCTATCAGTTTGAGAGTATCCAGCAGGTCCCCCAAGTTTCCCAGGCTAGAACTACACTTTTAAATCAGGTTGGATAAAAGGATAACGTAGCAACTCTGTTCCTGACTCTAGTCCATGACTGTCACTTTTCCTTCATACCTGTTTTTTACTTCAATGCAGAGAACTTTTTAGGACCAAAATATTATGAGCATTAAATTGGAAGACCTCTCTGTCAAGCCCTCAAATTTTTTCTTCCACACGTTGCTGGTAGAAAAAGCAATTATTGTTAGGAAGAAAAACACTTAATAAGGATACTTAAAAATGGAATGGTCCTTAAGAGGCTTTGTCAATAAGCAGTTTGAGGCCACGCTCTGAAGAACAGCTTGGATGTCCCAAAGGATTTTTACAGCTCTGCCAGTGAGTCTAATTACAGATAATTCTGCTCTCGCTTAAGTCATGCTTCAGTTAGATCCTTCCATCAGTGAGGCTACTATAACAGTAATGTTAATATTGCTTTTTGTAATTTAGTTAATTGGCTGTGACATACATTGAAGTTACATGTGTGGAATGAATAAATTGCTTCTCGTCCGATCAGTTTGATCATAATAGTTTTTGGGTTTATTTTTTTAGGGATTATGTAAGAAGCGAATTGGAATCAGGATATGAGGGACCAATGTACTTGGAGCCTCTCTCTATGAACCGCTTCATGACTGCTTTAGTAGGTAAGTGCCTTAAATATTTGAGGTGCAGGAGAGAGCTCTGCCTAATTCTTGTCACTGAAACCTGTGCATGTTTTACCTCTTGGTTTCAATTCTCTTTTATTACTTTTAGTAGTTGTGATTCTTATTAATATGCAAGAGGCATGGGAGGACAGCTGCATCCTGCCTGGCCTTTTCTGTGCAGCTCTGAAATATTTTGCAGGTCTGTTCTTCACGCTCTGCCGCTGTGTTATTGTCAGATTGAGATCGTTATTGTCAGATAAGTTTTAATGCAGGACAACTGGCTTGTCTGTAATAGTATTTATGTGAAAAGTACTGTTAGAAATTTCAACAGTAACATGCATTTGTGGTGATTTTGTCAATTCAAGTGTTGTACATGTATTAATATAAAAAGAGATGAACATTATTCTCTTACAAAACATGATGAAATATATTTGTGGGTGTGTGCAGGGGACTACAGGCTACTGGTCTTTTTACAGGGTCTCCAGGATATTTCTAATTAACGAGTTAAGGAATAAGAAGTCAAAAGTACATTTAAATTGAGTTTGATTAATGGCAGAGATGACTTCTCCACCTAAAAATCCCAAACAAATACTGAAGAATTGGACTTCCTAGACTGTTTTCCTAGCCTTTGAACTTTGACTGGAAGAGAATAAATTCAGCATTAAGGTTGTTACACCAAACCATATGTTCTCCTGAGAGGATACTGGAATACACACACCCCGTGTGTGTTTTAAAATTAAGCCTGAGACAAGCTTGGAAGAAAAATCTTCCTTAATTCCTTTCAGTAAGATCTGTGGTTTTCATCAGATTATTGACAGATTTAGTCAGCCATGTACTGTTGGCAAAACTCAGCTGCTTTCTGTTTACTTGCAGCTGCTACTGGCAGCTAGAAATGGGTTTACTACTCAACAATATGTTAGGTCTGCCAGAATATACACATCTCCTGTTTGCCTGCATCTTTACTTCCAAATGTGGCATTTGTCTTTGCTTTTAATATTTTTAGTAGAAATAACATTGGTAATTTTCAAGGAAATGTTATTTAGATACAGTTTCTTCTCTCTTGTGAATTTCTAGATATATTTTACTGTCTCCTCAAATGACACCAAAGTACAACTAAAGCTTTTACCATGGTTCTGTGAGAAAATGTTTGTAATTAGTCCTTTGAATCTCTCTCAGGTGCAATGCAGGGTCCCATGATAAAGCAGAATCCCTCAGAGAGCTTCACAAAGCTGCAGGCAGGCCTGGGCAGGAGGAGATTCAGAAGGCATTGTGTCATCGGTAACACTTAGACAGAAACTAAACCAAGAGTCAAAATAAGGGAGAAAAAGATAATACTGGTTTTATCCAGTATAGTTTTGGGTTGTAGTGGGTGTCAGACTAAAGTGTCCCCTTATGGTAATTGTGTTTCTGAAGTAGGTGCTTGACTGTACTAGCAGGTGCGTGTATGTTAACATATTTAATTTCCCCATTTCTTTTAAAGCCAACTTGAAAGTGCAGTTTTGGTCTTGATGGCAAGAGGTCATCTTTGGGGACAACCTGTGCAAGTGGGCTATGAGGCTTGGCAGTGTTTTGTATAAATATGAAATATTTTCTTAAATCAGTTCTCTACAAGGTGTGTATTCAGTGCAGTCTCAGGAACACACAGCACTGAGCGGTGTCACCGTCACAGCAAAAGGAATATCCGGGTGCTTTGCTCCATCTTTTCCTCACATGTTCTGCTGGAGCGTTGTGCTGCAGCACTGGTAACAAGGGCACTGAAGTTGGGTGGAATAGTGGTGCTACTGGTACAGCTTTGGTTCCTGAAAGTTCTGGTCAGAATTGAGGGGGTGATGTACAGTGTGCCACTTGGTTCACAAATTTAATCTTTATTAATGCTTCAATTCATTAGTACTTATGGAAGGGGCTCTCATAGTAATTTCTTCCCCTGCATCTTACTCAGCCTGATGACTGCTGAGAAGGGATAATAATGCATTCCTAAGTGCTGAATGGAAGAAATAAATGCCTTTGGAGATGGCCCCTTGTATGTGTGTACCACTTTGGAAGCACTTCAACTGTCAATGTTACAAAGCTGCTGTGGTTTTGGAAGTGATGCTGCCATAAAGACTTACTCTTTTTAGTGCACAGTAATAGGATTATATATTAACTGTAGGATGCCCTGTTTCTGAGTTACAGTCAGTGATGTAGCCAGGGAGTTTAACATCAGCTTTTGAAAATTGTGAATGAAATAAAGACATTTCTCTACTCCAAGTGACTTGTACAGTGGCTGTGCCACATCAGCTTTCTTGTTGTACATTTTCCATTAGCTTATGAGCTGGGAGGCTCTGGCTGCGTGTCAGCAATGTTTGATGTATTTGTGGAGGTTTTGGGAAGGGAAGAGGGTGGACAGGAAGTTCTCACAATGGATTTCTTCCTTATTGCCTCGTTCCCTAGCAGAAGAACATGGTGTCCTGCAGGGGGATTCCAGTTGTTGGGTTCATTAACTGTGTCTGGCAGTTTTCAGTCCACAGCATTTCAAGTCACCTGGATTTGATAGCTAGTGTTAAAATCTATGATTTGATATGAGGTACAAACTAATTTCTCTGGCTGATCCTGCTGTGTGATGTTGGTGACTGGTGCTGTGCAGCCCCAGCTGGAGATAAAGTATGATTTACTGCAGATAGAGATTGGCTGTCCTGAATGGAGGTGCTGCTGCCCCAGTTTAAAATGGGAAGTTCCATCACTCAAAGCTTTGTTGGAGACGTTCACTCCCTTCCTAAAGGGGCTGAGAATTGACAAGGTGCACACCTCAGGAAGGAGGTTGGGACCTCCAGAGAAAACACTCCGTTTACTTCCTTTGCTGGTGGATGCAGCTCTCTTCCCATGGCAAACAACTTACGATTGGTGTTTAAATTAAAAAGATGGGAGGGTCAGAGCTGAGCAGGGATGACCAGCATTCTTGGCACATGGCTGCTGGAGGAAAGCAGCTTTAACTGTTTACTAAGATGAGACTGGACTGAGTTCTAATTTGTGACTGGAGAGCTCCAGAGTCATCCCAAACAGCGCTGGATTGTTTAACATGATACTGTTGCAGTATTTTATTTCAGATGACGACACTCTGAGTAAATCCTGAAGAACATGTTGGATGCTGGTGTTTGTGTCCCTTTGTGTGTGAAGCTGGGTTGCCTTAGTTACCGCGAGTTGCAGAAATCCTCACAAGCTGCCTGCCAGGCTCCTGAATATTACAGCACAGCAGTGCGCTGGTGGTGTCTTAAATAGGGTTGTAGCAACGTGTGTGTGGGCACAGAACAACAAAGCAGAGAGAGAATGCTTCAGAGCTGGAGTCTGCTGAATGTTGAAAAAGATGAGTAGAGTAACTTTCTCTGAGGCTTATAAGACCCAGTATGCTGATAGTGTCTTGCTGAGAGCAACGGTGCTTGTTCTGAAAAGACATCTGCTAATTCAAAAATACATCTAGCAAATTGACAGTAGGAATTAAACTTGAAAGAGGGCAGTGTGAAGGAGGGAGAACTTTGTATGCTTAAGCAGTAGAGATTAGAGATGCCTTTCAGCTCAGCTGCAGTTATTTTGAAAGCAGAAGTCCTTCCCCAGGTAGGGAAGCTTGGCAGAATGAAAGCAAAACCCTGGTACTGCTGTTTCTCCTCTTGCAGCTTCCCTCCCCTGCCCCTCCAGAAGGGCTTACAAGGTCAGTGAGCTTATGTGAGCACATGGAGTTCACGCTGACCTAGAGATGTTACTCGCCTTGATTTGTTCCTCTGTTTTGCTAAGCCTGGCTCCTGGTTTCAGGAAGAGTTGTGAAATGCAAACATTAGTGGAGGTTGTTCCCAAACAGGGCATAAGCACTTAGATTTAGTACCACATATTGTGGCTTTTGGATATAAGCTGACATAGATGGTGAACAAGGGTCTGTTTTCAAATAATATGCAGTAATCTTTTTTCCTTACTGCAAAATGATGAGTGTGAATTGTTCTTACCCAGGCAATGTGCATTTTTGCCCCATGCCATTTCCTCTGGGATCAAGGATACAACTTCCAGTGACTCTAATAGGAGCAGCTATAATGGAGTGGTCTACCCTGGAAATATCACCCTCCAAATCTCTGGGTGCAGGGGGTAGATGTGCATGTGTCCCCACCAATTATTAAAGAGAATTTAATTGTTAATTATCTGTCACTCGCAAGCTTCAGTGATAATTTTGAGCAACTGCCTTGGGGCGTTATGAAGTTATTGAAGTCTCAGCTGCTGACCTGGCTGTTCTCCTGTTGCTGTTCTTGGCCAGTAATTCCTCTTGACAGTATAAATATTGTTCCAAAAGCCATTGCGGACCTTTGATTGCTTTTATTTGTGTGGATGGGGATGAAATAGTGTAGCTGGGCTTCAGGAACGCTGCTGTATATACAGATACTGATGGGATTTCAACTGAGGTGGGGATGGTAAAGAAAAAGAGAGATTACTTTTGGGTTGTCCTCTATATGACTTATTCCTGGGACTTCATATTAATCTGATTCTGCGTGTGTTTAGGGTTTACAGTTCGCTAATCTGTGAAGTGAAAGCATGCCCTGTGCACAGTTTGAAAAGGGTAACTTTAGTGACCCAGCAAAAGACACGGAAGAGCCTGGTTTCATAACAGAGATGTCCTAGTTACAACCGTCATAATATGCTGGTTGTTGATAACTGTGTTCTGGAAAGATAACGTATTAAAATACCCTTTTTCCTGAAGGGGATAATCAGCTTGATTCTGAAATGCTGTGTCGCGTTTCCAGGGCAGCTGGTGGTGTGTACGCTCTGCTCCTGCGTCATGAAAACCAAGCAGATCTGGCTGTTCTCTGCCCACATGCTCCCTCTCCTGGCACGGCTCTGCCTCGTCCCGCTGGAAACCATCGTCATCATCAACAAATTCGCCATGATTTTCACTGGTTTGGAAGTTCTCTACTTTCTGGCATCAAATCTTCTGGTGCCCTATAACCTGGCAAAATCTGCGTACAGAGAGCTTGTCCAGGTAAGATGGTGAATGTAACACTTCTGTTTTCCTTTTCCTGAACCTTTTTTTGCAGGAAGAAGTAAAAAAGTACTTTGGCTGTCTTCTGCGCACCTCTGTGTGCGTGTGTCTGTGCTAACTCACACTTCCTCAGCAATCCAAATGTGCTCCTATCCATGGCATCTTCTTTCTTTAATTTTATGATAGCTTTGTATTAGCCTGATTTATGCTGCTGGCCAGCTGAGCATGTCCACTTTGCTCGGACATTGATTATTCCTTTCCAAATCCAGGCTAAAAGATAAGACTGTGCCAGAAGGGAGTACATTTACAGCCTCATTAAATGAGCAAGGAAATCCCTGTGCATTCACTGTAGTAGCTCTTCATTTCAAGAAATGCCTTCTGTATGAAAAGTGTTTGTAATTACAGAAGTGTTAAATAGGGAGTAACACTGAAGGTAATCTTGACTCTTAATAATCACTGACTTAGTGATTTGTAACTTGCACAGTGATTTGAAAGGTCTGTGGTATTTTCTTTAGAACAGCAGCATTACTGACACCTTGAGCAAAAATTGGCAGAAACAGAGAAGACTGATCTGACGTGTCCATTTTGTTAATGCTTTGACATCTGATACATGCTCAGTTGAAAATTTACTTTCTCAGTGCTACAAAAACATCAAACACATCATGTTTTTTTATATAAAGTATATATGTTTATACATCCATCTATGTATTTAAACATAAAAAGATTGATGCTTGCTTGACTTTTGACTGACTCACTGTTTCAGCTCTTGCCACTGGCTGGATTTTTTTAAAACCAAAACACTGTTTTGTTTTTTTTCCTTATGCTCTTCAGTCCAGGAGTAGTCTGAAAACTAACTTGTTACGCTCTTTCAAAGCCTTCTTTAAAGCTCTTGTTTGCTGTCATATCTGTCATACGCAAACAAAAACTTGGCAGTGGTAGGTGCCTGGTGTGCCAAGGTCTCAGCCTGTCATGTTGATCATTGATGTCTGGTTATTTATTTTGTATGTAGTTGGTCTTTAGAGCAGGATTATCCTTCTGTGTTTGTACAGCACCTAGCATGGTCTGACCTCATCCATGGAATCACAGACTTGTTTAGGTTGGAAAAGAACTCTGAGATCATCAAGTCCAACCGCTAACCCAGCACTGCCAACACCACCACTAAAATATATTTCTAAGAGCCACATCTACACGTCTTTTAAATCCCTCCAGGGATGGTGACTTCACCACCGCTCTAGGCAACCTGTTCTAGTGCTTGACCACTCTTTCAGGAAAGAAATTTTTTCTAATATCCAATCAAAATCTTCCTGGCTTGTAGACTTGATGATAAAAACCAATTCAGGAGCTAACTGGCAAAGCTTCAATATCCTTTTTTCCAGGGAGAATAGGAAAATCTTGCTTACTCTTTACTTAGGGGGTTAACTTTTGGGGTAATAGTTGCATGTCTTTGTACAGTTCAAAGCCTTGCAACAGATTGGAACCAGCACTTTGATTTTCCACATGCATGAATGGATTTACAGTTTAAGTTTCTGAAGTCAGATTCGGATTGGATGTGGATCTGAAACTTGTATCTATTTTTTATTAGACACATTTAAAACACTTCAATATCTTACCAGTGTTTTGATTGCAAATACATTCCAGGTTGAGGGGGGAAATAATTGTTTCTTGCTGATTTGTTTTGGTTGGTTGATCTGTCAGAATTGTATTCTAAACACTGCTGTTACCCAGCTCTCCTCCTCATCTCTAGGACTGCTTATCTCCCCCTTGCTCCATCCCAGTGTTTCATATCTTTCCAAGCTGGGCTGTATTACAGTGTTGTAATCATGAGGAAGAAGTGTTCCTTGTGCTTAGCCTTTAGACACTGATTGTACTCTTTCTCCTGGCTTTTTGTGCAGAGGGCATGAAGATTTTTTTCCTTGGGAATACAGAAAAAGTGGTAGAAACTTTATAATATGTCACTGAGTTTACAGGAGTATTGAATGCTGCTTTTCTAAATGCATGGAGTAGAGTTGGAATGAATAATTGTGTGTGAGTTGATTTTGACTTGTATTGAAAATATGGGAAAGCAGGATTTTTGATTTTCAAGAGCTTACTGCTCTTTGCCTGTGTTCCTGAAACAGAGCAGAAAATACATTGGCTAATAGTGTGTTCATGGGTGCAACTCGACTACAAATCAAGCTTAGTGTGCATATTCCAGAGGAGGATATTGGCATTCTGTCTGGAATATTTTCCTAGTTGTATTTCCATTGCTACAACTCGGAGCAGTTGTTAATTTTCAGTGGGTCCGTCACCCTGGTGTTTGTGAGTTTGCTGCTATTTTAGGCTGGATTTGATTGCAGTTGTCAGTGTCAAAGCTTGGTGAACACTGGGGTGTTAAACACTGAGACAGCCCTAACAAGTGGACCAAGGCAGCTTTCTGTGTGTGTTAGACTGTGCCTAAGGGGATAATTTAAAAGCAGGCCCAGACCCTTGGCTGGCTGTTTGCAGCAGCAGATGCCAGAAATGCCTCATGGTTATGAATCTACATTATGAGCATAGCATGACCCTTTTCCAGTGTGGTGGAGCCCTCTGCCAGGAGCTGCACAGGATTGCTTGCGTTGGCCCCGGGCCAGGGGAGTCTCCCCCGGGCAGGTGCACTTCCTTCATAAGTCTGTGGGCAAAGCTGAGCACGGGAGCTTGGCACTGCACCACTGCCAGCAGCACTTGCTTGTCCATCAGCCCCTGTACCTACTGCAGCACGTCTCAGTAGTGTAATATCCCTCATGCTTGTCGTGGAAGACTAAGTAGGCAGCTTTTTTAGCGTTTGCTAGAGTTTCCTTGCTTTCCTGGCTTGTATGTCACTGTGGGTAGCAGGTGATGAGGAATCAGTAGTTATAAGTGCTTTCCTTTTGACCTTTTGTGATTAGTCCAGCTATATGAAGTTCCAGCTTCTTAGAAATGACTGCGTTGTAACTCAGTCTTTGCAATACAAAAGAAGTAATTTGAGCTTCAGAGTCTTCTGAAGTAAGTCTTAAGCATGAATTTCTAAACACTTGATGGATTAGGTACGTGTTCCTTTTTGTGATACTCAAACATAAAATGTCTGAGGTATTAAGTTTTTTGTTAAAAACAGGTCAGCAAAGTAGATTTACTTTGCTGTTGTGACTCTATTGTTGACTGTCCTTTTGTTATCAAATCCCAGGTGCTGTGACCCAATAACAAATTGCTTTTTTGTGTCTTGCCCAGGTGGTGGAAGTGTACGGGCTCCTGGCGTTGGGAATGTCTCTGTGGAACCAGCTGGTCGTCCCAGTGCTCTTCATGGTGTTTTGGCTTGTTTTATTTGCTCTTCAGATCTATTCCTATTTCAGTACACGGGACCAGCCTGCCTCGAGAGAGAGGCTCCTCTTCCTCTTCTTGACCAGGTAATTGATTCATCTGCAAATATTTAGTTTTCTGTTTTGACTGTCTTCTCAAATGAATGTTGGTGCTCTTTGAAAGATGAGGTTATGTATACTGGCTTTCTTGCACTTGTATGCCCATCAAATATTTGTCCTTATCGCAGGGACCATGTGTACAAAACCTGTTAAGCTTGTCCTACGAAGGCACGGATCCCATTCAGAACAGACAGCATTAGCAGAACTGGAGAACAGTTCCCAAAGAAAGCAAAATATTCCTTTGAGAAGGGAATAGCTGTAATTAGTGTTGGTCCAGAAGTTGTTTTCAGTATATAAATTGGTTTTAAGTCTGAGATGTTTCAGCTGAAGTTCAGTCCAAGTGATATGTTATTCATGCTCATGTTGCTTTCTGAGCCTTGTATGTCTTGTTTTATCATTTTGGTGTGGGACACATTCTTGAGCTAAGCAACCAAAGCACCCAACTCTCAAAGTTAAAACAAACAGGGTTTACTGTTTCAAACTGTTCTGTGTCTGACATTCTCCTTGTTCATCTCAAAATCTTTTCCATGGGTTTGTAACTGCTGTGATTTTTGGGAAGACATGAAGAGTTCAGCTCTTTGGGACAGTTTATAAACTTGTGCTTGACACATAAACATAATAAAGCTCCCCAGGCTTCTCTTTGAGCTCTTAAGCTCCTCTGGGACCCTCACATAGTAGATCAAGTTTAAGAAGAGTCCTAAAATTACTCTAACAAAAAAACATTGGACATCAGGCAGAAAATCCAGGATTCTTGATTTCTGATAATTTATTTTGAAGCAAAACTTGTAGTCCCTCAAATATTCTACAGAAATAATTGCTTTAAGTACTGTGTTTCTCACTACCTTGACCTGCAGAAGCATTTAAAAACTTTTTCAGCCTCCCTTGACTTGGTAAACAGGCAGAATTGGGAGGCTTACCAGAAGCACTGTACACTGCATATGTAAACATACCAACGTTTTCTGCTGTGAATTGTTTTCAAAGGAGATTTCCGGTTTAAGAAGTCACTAAAAGAGACAAAGTAAATGCCTCTTGGATGAGCTTTGTTTATTTTTGAAGCATAGGCTTCCTCAAACCCTTTTGTCAGAGCACTGGACTGCTTCACTCATCTGTTGGTTAATTAGCAGGCCACGGCCTCGGCACTTTCTCTCCTCACAAGACTGCTGTCCTGAGGAACAAATGAAGATTTTTTTTTCCTTCTTTTTTTTTTTTAATGAATGAGTGTCAGTGTGTTACCTTGGATTATATGTGTGAGAATTTCCAGATGTGTAACCCCTGGCTGACAGCTGGGTCTTTACCTGGCACTGGCAGTGCTGTGTTTCAGAAGTTGAAGCACATTCAAATATCGCAGTGCTAGGACCAGCAGAAGAGCAGCCCAAAGGTGAGGGAGC